AAACGAGAGCAGCATCGTTTTAAACGATAAGATAAGTTTCTGTTTATAAAAAATCGATAGGCCGAAATATTTTTGAAATATTTCTGATATGATGTATGAATAATTGTGACAAGTTTGTATAGACAGCTCCAAATATGGTATCTAAAAATGGGTATGGTACGAAGCATGTAGCTACCCACCTGTTGACGTTTTTAGCGTCGTCGGTTCGCTCTTTTTTATCTCTCCCGATGACTTCTTCCCAATGACAGACGTCACTTCGATTTCATATTCAGTGGCTGGTAATAAATCCCTAATTGTCAGCGTATTGTCCTTCCCGGTAACAATGCCACCAAACTTCCGCTGGTCATCAGATTGACTTGTGATGTATATTTCATGATAATCAACATTGCTCGATTCTCCTTCCCATTGGATGGACAACTCTCTACAAGTACCTCCAGTGACTCGTAGGTCACGTGGTCTCGATATTCCTATGAAGGGTAAGCATTACACAGTTGAAATAAACGTTTTAACCGCGACTAGATCATGCTTTAAACATCTGCTTTGTTTTTCATTTTAAAACTATACACGTGACCACAACGTTATCAGAATAACAAATGATAATTGAAATGATAATATTCCTGGACACACAGACGTATAAATGGCCGCCGAGATGTCATTGAGAGCAAGAAAGTCCCGAAAATTGATCCCCCGCCCTCTCAAATTGTGTAAAATTCTCCCCGCCCGCTGTTTCACTGATTTGTGAGATTATGGTATTTGGAACAGTGGGCGCGAATACTACTAGTATTTGAAGGGCAAAATATGTCACATGGCACTCTCGCTCACGGCGAGATCTTGACGGCCATTCGCGTAAAAAGTATATTGCACAAATGTCACATTTTTATCAGAATTTCTCATTATATGATAACCGCATTAAATCGTGTTCCTAATATTTTGAAATTCATAAAGAACGTGTTCAAATACACACATATCCAGTCATAAGTCGTTCCAATATCTCGATTATTAAGTCAAGTCAACAAACTACATATTTCCCGGCAGTCAATGCGGTAAGAATGAAGATACAACATGATACACGTTTGATATTACATAAGCATAACAGTACTCACATACCTGGATCCTCACTTGAGGTCGAAGGTCGTGTTATTTTAGGAGCTGCTGACGTCGCTCTACTGCCCTGTTCTAATTCTAGGGCATTCGTCGATATACTTCGCAGGAGTTGTGCTACGACTAGAAATTGCTTTGTTGCGCGGAGAGGAAGTGCTTCCTGGAGGCTTTTCTGGATGGAGTGTAATGCTTCCTTTTGCGTGTTGTCGATTTACTCCGAGATCTGCGTGAAAAATGTTTGTGTCGGATTTTAAACTTATCAGGTGTTATTTATAATTAGCAGTTGTCACGATGGTGATATCTTTCGAAAAAAATAACTGACGTAACGCGCAGTTGCGTAAGATTTCATCAAACGATTTTCTTTTATGCAGTTTCAAAAATGACGGCGTCCTCATTAAAATAAATATATAATGTAATTATGTGTTAGCATTGTAACATGCAATGTATATATATATATATATATACGCTCAAATAATCAAAATTGCTTCTCTAAACACGGGAACGCTAGGCGGCGTACATCCCTGGTAAGGTGCATGATGTACCGTAGAGGTAATTATTCATAACTTACGTGTGTCAATGTCTTTAACATATATATCGTCTTTGGCGATGGACGGTGAGTGTGATGGGCCGCATCCCATCTTCAAAGAGCGACGAATCAGTAATAAAAATTGTACCTATAATTGCAAAGAATAAAAATGACGAATAAAGCTGGCTTTATAAATTGTGATTTTAATAAATTATTTAGGAAGGTCGAACAACACGACACTCGCCTTTTATACGAAATAAGATTCGGTGAATTGGATAAATCTATTGAAAATTATATTAGATCATACTTGTTTTGCTTTTTTTGTGTATTGCCTCATATATACATCTTTTAAATTGTTTTTGATGTTTTATAATCAAAATAAAATTAAATAATAAGTATAGTCAAAATAAAATATAATGTATAAAAAAAAGCTGTACTAAATGATACAATACGTAACAATATGGACATTATATCGCGTACGTATATAGCAACACTAACTCGTAAGAATCGTGACACGGAACAAGGCGGCGTTATTAACATCAACGTAACGAGATGGGCTTGGCATGGTTCCAACGTTTGTCATTTTTTTGTCCACAGTAACAACGAGCGTGAATTAGTTGTCATAGTGCCCGGTTCAGGCCATGACCTCAATAATAACAAAACTCGGTCGGGAAGTTATTTTAGGTAAAGCCGGTTCGTGAGCTCAACACCAAATACGCTATACCCGAAGCGAGTTTGCTTTGCGTTTTATTCCACAGATTCGCACAAATAACCCGTAAAACAATTGTGACAGCAAAATGAATAGTATAGATAAAACACTTTAGTTCTTTCGTCATATCACCCTGATTAGCGATACGTTATCGCTAAGTTATTGTTATTACCATGGAAACGATTATTCGCTGTGTCTAGGTAATACTGAATTAAATATATAAACAGCCCCGACCAGTCCTATATTACTGTCAATGATTTCGGATAATATTGCAGGAACTTCTATCAAAGATACTTATTGACGTAGTAGTATTTCCATCGTCGGGTGAAGTGTTCTGATGAACTTTCAACTCCGAGCGTATTTCTGTCCTCGGCATATCGGTGTCGTTAATTACACATTCATGGATGGCTCGAAGACAGGCTGACACAGTCGTGTTCCCGTTAATAGCGTGTCCTTGTGTGTTTGCGTTGTTCACTTGATTACCCGAACACAATCAAAGCTAGTTTTTTTGTATTATTGTAAGGATTCTTTTAAATTTAGACCGGCCTTACAAGCCGATGTCGGTGTCTGTTTGAACACTCGCAACACAGGTAATCGATGACCGACTTGTCCGTCGGTAGTTTAATGTCAAAAAATCCGGCAAGTATTAAACCCACATATTGTCTAAAATAATGTTCCCGGTAATGACGGTCACACTGAACCATGTGTCGTAAAATCACGGTTAGGTTAAAACTTACCTGGAGCCGGAACTAAATCAAACTCCAACGAAGGAAGGCACCATTTTTGTTAATCCAAGTTCTGTTTTTTTTTTCTGTCCGAATCGTAAGTTAATATACTCGAGTGGAGATCGTTTACACACTTGAAATCGTCATAAATTTTAACTTTGGTCCAGAATGCGCACTAATCTCTGCGCAAATGATTGGTGATCAACTGCACAGCCCTACTTCACCACAAATCAACTGCACAAAGGTAACACCGTAATAGGGAATTGGTCGAATTACTGCGCAAACAATCGTCTCGTACGGAATGACGTAGGTGATGGGCAAAGGTCACGCATTAACGAGCTTGCATAGCCCAATTGCTCGTTTTGTACCCGATCTATTTATATGTAATAGTCTCGCTCCCAGTAAATATTACCCTTAAATTCTGGATTAGATATTTAAATATTTGAAATATAGCAAAGCGTTTTTTTTTTACATGATCGGAGTCGTTATTTTGATGTAGTTAAAAAATTAATTTCGCACGACGATAGGTCCCATTGCATGTATACTAAATAATTTGAATAATTGCTGGGTAAAACAACGAAGACCAAAAAAGGTAAGCGCACTAGCTGAGTCTTGATCTCGCGATGTAAACGAAAACAACTTTTCAACGATGACCACCCTCAAAAAAAACAAAAAAACATCAGCATACCGCGTGACACCTGAAAGAATATTGCATATAATTACGATCACCCCATATCACCACGTTCTTAGACTGCCAAGTAGGAAGTATTGACATTTTTTCGTGTATATTGCAATCACATGTGTATTGTCTTAATTGTAGGATTCGCCTACCACTTCACGCACGGACCTCCACGCATGCTTAATGGGTTGTATATGGACTGTGAACACAGGGTGAAAGTTCGGCAGATATTGTTGTTCATTGTGTTTATCAGCTTGGATACAAAACAATAGCATGTCAATGGACGGTTGTTATTGTGTGTCACACGACATATATCTTCAAAGTGTTACTGTTTAAAGCGGGGGCGTCGTCGCCTGCGCATGCGTCAGATGGCCATAGCGTGTCATTGTTTACAAACAAGCGTCTGCCCATGCACTTTTCCGTTTTTAGCGTGTGTTGTTATCGTCCTTGAGACTCAATTCCCGCGCGTGCGTAGGTGCGACCCTCCCGCTTTAAGATCATCAGGTAATCTCTTAGACAAACATTGCTATCCATAATCACTTACATCAAAGCTTCCAGGTGATACGTAGGTTGTCATAGTAACATGCTTGGTGACTTTTAGAGAACGTCTGAATACTGATAAATTTCACTAGTTTCCCCTTATTTTTAAGGGGTAGAATCAAGTACAGAATGCATTGGAGACACATCGCTGCAATATATGATGCATCACTATCTATTTTCGTTTCTAAAATTCATTCCATCTTATATTTACGTTTTGGCCAAAACACATATATTTAGACTCGATTAAAAATGGTTGACGAGTGTTTTGTCGTATAATAGGGAGAAATTAAAGACATTGCACTACATTGTTAGTGATTGTTTACTACACTCATTGGGTGTGTCATTTTCATATATTTGTATATATCATTTCGTGTTTGTTTTATTTAAGTGTTAATACAATATAAAACACTTATTTCAGCGATTAGAGTCTACAAATATATAAAGTATTGATACAATTAAGAATAATTATATGTGGATATGTTCTTGAACATCCCGCCTAATTATTTATAAATCAATATTATGTGCAGCACAAAATTCAATTGTTATAAGTCATGTTTTTCTTTCCTATTATTGACGCAGAAACAACCACCCCTATTAGACATAACGCCAAGTTCAAAGTCAGCAAGAGAACATTGACATAACACTTTATTCATATATAATATAATGACTAAAACATGTATATATAATGGGAAAATTGTTATATTTTATATAATTTAGTAATAATTAAAAACTTATATACGAATAATTTGTGTCAAACATTATTACATGTAATAGAGCATATAATATAAGATTATTACGTAACGAGGATACCTAAAAGTATGCACGAAGACAGTACAGCTGAAGTATCGACCGACGCGCAGCGTACTGTCTGAATGCATACTTTGAGGTATTCTCGTAATAACTTTATTATTATACATCTTTTTCTTTCAAGGGTACATCATTGGAATCCAAAATCCAAAATCCAAAAAGTTTAAGCGCGGTGGTCGTCGCGCAGCGCGTGTTCGAATTTTATGTAAATAAACAATGTATTTTACACGCGTTGTATACTTCGCTACGAGTCCCATATCGAACAGGACGTGGCGGACGACTGCCGCCCTTTAATAACAGAATCAGCAAACTTCTTTGTGTGGAGTCCGGTCAAACCCCGATGGCAGCCATGTTTGTTTTTATTATTAGAGGCCGCTTACGCGCGTAATCATTCCATATTTGGAATTTGCATTTCCTAGTATGTTAGGATGAAAATACCCCGTAAAATACCACAAAATTACGGCACGCTGTAACTTATGGCGTTACGGTGACAGATGTATAATAATGTAAAATTATCAGATATGTTATCCGTATATCCAGATAAATCGCCATATATAAATAAAAACATAAACGAACTCCCTGATTACCCAGGGTAATATTCGATGTAAAATGAAATATTAGCATTTCATTAACCCGATCTCTCATTATTGCAAGTCGATGGTAATACCAGGTTCATTTTGTTTGACTGTTTCATTGACTTCAACTACAAAGTGAATATCAACCCCAGAATGTACTACATATATACATAATATAAAGAGAATTCCAGATTCTGTGAAAAAAAATGATATGATTAGATATGATAATGATTTATGATATGTTAATCATGACATATGTCTGGTATATAGTTTCATCTCAGTAAATTATTTGGTGGTAAAATGTATGACGTCATATCTAAGTTGGTTTACCAAATCACAACCCAACAAGTGTCACTGAGGGCGCCATTCACCATGTGTGCACATGATAATAATGAACTACGGTGAACCCGTTTTGCAATCAGCAACTATGTGTACGTGTTCAATGAGAGCGGATTTAGATACGACCAAATCCCTCATAGCATTCCAGAGCTTTGTCCATAGCTTCTCTGAATAAACGGTAACTTGGATATTCTATCGGAAGGTAAATGTACTGAAAGCATGTCTCGGCAAAAGGTAGCGAATTCTCGTGAAACCACACTGTGATGTTGCCATATGACTTCGGTGGTAGAACAGGGCAACCGGTTACGAATGCAAGAAATTTGGATAATGTGACAGGTGTTACTTCTGTCCCTGAAACAGTAATTACACATTATTATAAATTTGTTCCTTGGAAAACCCATAAAGGGTATTAAAGGTATGTCACAGCTCCCGATTTTAACATAGCGTAACTATTAAAAGCTTGCTCATGGAGAATCTAGATTACATAACATATGGATGAGTGTACACAAAATGACGATATATTACATTAGAAGTGAGTATAAACATCCTGAAAGAATGCAATGTTATATTCAAGCATTTTTCGCAGAATATCTATGATTGGGAAAAATCTGGACCAAAAGTGGGCAAACAAATTATCATTATAATTACATACAAAATGTAAGTAATTTTCGTAGGTATTAATAATAGCATAATATTCTTTAGCTTATCTACTATGATACCGATAATGTATGAATAAAA